GCTCAAATGTCAAAAGAATAGAAATATACAATGTCTACTCCTGTATCTGGTTTCTTTTGCTCAGCATTTTGTTTGTGAGATTCATTCATACTATGAGCTCAGTGATTTATTCTTTACCACAGTTCATTCACTTTCAGGCTGCTGGTCTTTTAGGTTGTTTCTAGAGGTGGGAATACTAGACCTATGAATAACATTAGTGTAAATAACATTGAATGTGTAGGTTTGCTTGGTCATAGAGTAGGCATTTGTTTAAAATCAGTAGAAACAAAAAGTCTTTCAAAGTAATCATCTCAATTTACACTCCCACCAGCAGTGTATGTGTGTGCCAAGTGCTCCACACCAATACCAATATTTAGTATATCAGCCCTTTTAATTAGCTACTCTGGTCAGAGAATAGAAGTATCTCACTGTGGTTTTAATGTCTGTATTTCCTCAATGATGTTAAACATATATAAACAGGTTTACTGGTTAAGCTGTCGTTTACAAAAATATTTCCTGTTCCAATAACACAAAGATATTAATTTAAAATGTTTAGTTTTTCCTATTTTAGTCTACTAAGAAAATATTTTGTATATGGTGAGAGATGAGTGTCTAGTTTTATATATTTCCATAAGTATAGCTACTTATCCCAATGCCATTTATTGAATAGTCAGTCCACCCTTGGTCTACTGATTTGGTAGTGCCTTTTTTGCCTTAATTCCAATAGCTCTTTTAATAATATATCACAATTAATACAATATCAGAGATAGACAGCCCCCGCAAAAAGGCAAGAAAAACATTAGAACATATAGAAACAGACCTGTGTGGATCTGGGAACTTGGTATATGACATTGATGACTTTTATAATTCATTTGTTTCTATTTCATTGCATTAATCTCTGATCTTTATTTTTCTGATCTTTCCTCTACTTTCTACTTTTATTCTTTAACTTATTTGGCCAAATACTTTAATTATTATTTACCACCCTGACTTCTCTTCAACTGAATTTAAGATTACACATTTCCTTTTAATACTGCTTAAGCAGCATCTGCTTAAGTATATGTATGTTCATTTTTATCTTGTACTAAATATTTTGTAAGTTACACTTTGATTTCTACCTTGGCCCATGAACTATTTAGAAAGATATTGTATTGATTTCCTAATATATGAAGTAATTTTGATATTTTTGTATTGTAGATACTAATTTTTATTTATTTCATTATTTTTATTTGTTTCCTGGACCAGGGAATGTTGTCTGTGTAATATTGATTCATTAGCCTTTTTGAGACATCTTTCAGACTAAGAACATAATTAATTTTGGTACTTCCCATGTATTCCTGAAGAGAACATACATTTTATAAATATTGGGTACAGGGTCTACAAAAGTTCATGGGTTTAAGAAGTCCCTCCGATGGGTTAAAAAGGTTAATTGAAATGTTCAAGTCTTATACAGTCTTATTAATATTTCATTGGCCTAATGTATTGTTAACTGAAAGGGGTTTAAAATTCTTTATTACATTAAAAAATGGATATAAACACATGTATTTTGTGGCTATATTCTTAATGCGTACAAGTTTAAGACTGTTATATTCTTCTGGTGAATTGTTTCTTTTACCTATCTGTTAAAACAAGTAAAGCATTTTTTTCCTAGAAATTCTATTTCGTTCTTTTTAAAAACAGTATTTCCTTCTTATTGTTTCAGTTTCTTCTTTTAAGTCTACAACATTTTTTCTCAGTCTTTTTAGCTTGTGCTATTACACAAATTTCTGGAGGTTCTGCTCTTCCTGTTTGTCATCTCCTCTTGTGTTTTGTCATCTTTGTGTGGACTCCTAAATGGCCTGGATTATGTAGTCTTAAATTTCAGTGTGATTTTGCAAAATCTTCTGTAAAAGATACAAGAGTATCACAGTCTGGGACCAACTTTTATGTTCATTTCTCAGTTTGGAGTTTCAGGGTCAGAAATAAAGTTTACATCTGTCTCCTTAACATGTAAGATTTAGAACTAGGGATTTTGATTTCTCAGAAAAGATCACTATCATGCCTCACTTTCATTTCCATTTAGGTCCCAGTTAGAGTCAAACTCCCTTTTTGCTGGAGATGGATAATTTTCCCTTAGTGTATTATTTCTCTCAATAGCACAGCTCTCTAAGAATCTTGGCTTTTATATTGATGTTGGCTCCAAAGGCCTGTTAGCTCCCAGGCCTCATATCCAGCCCCTGCATAAGTCTTAAAATGAAACTCCTTGGTTACCAGGACTGATACTTACATAAACTGCATGGTGAATGAATTAATACATTTAGCACTCCAGGGATCAGTTGCCTCTTCATTTCTGGCAACTCTGGATTTCCGTTTCTTCTTCTGAACTCATCTGTGCATTTAAAAATGATCACATTCTGTCCATGTTTGCAGCAGAAAGAGAATCCCTTTGTTGTTTGTTTCATCAGGCACCGTACTGCAAGCATTCTAATTAACCATTGTATATGGACATTTAAGAGGTATATGTCTTGCCAATAGGTTTCAGACCCAGGCAAATTCACTATGGATTCAATGTAACCAAAGGAAATGACAGTAAAATGTTCTTGGGGTGGAAGGGTTATACCCAACTTTATTTCCACAGTAGCAGGTCAATCACTAAAATCCCGTTCACTCAGAGTGAGTCTGCATGCAGCAAGACAGTCTCTGCCTCTGGGCCCCTCTGCCCACACAGACATCTTCTGGGCCTCTCTGCCTGCACAGTCATCCCATACAGCCATCCTCTGAGCCTCTGTCCTCAGTGCTGCCACCATTCCAGCCTCTGCACTGCTCTCCTGCAGTCTTGCAGCAGTGCCACCATGTCACCCAGAGCAGTGGGCAGAGCTCCTTATATCAAGTCAATAGCAACATATTGCCCACACGTGTGCAGTGAGCCAGCCAACCAGGGCCAGGTGAGAATCCTGGTCACAGGAACTCTCATTTTATCCACATATACCTAATAACTCTCTAATTTCATTTGAAATATAGACCATGATAACTTTGGGAAGGGATTTCACATAGAGGCAAAGAACAGGAACTTGAGTAAAAGATTTACAAAATATTTTGCAAATGATGTAAAACAGAAAAGTATTCAAAATGTGTTTTGTCCCAGTATGGCCTTCACAAAGTGGTACAAACATTGGACTCATCATTTGAACACATTTATATACATATTAATTTATACATTTGGGATAGAAACATATAGCTACACACTATGGATTCAGTGCCTTGCTTAATCTATTTAATTGCTTTCAAGTGTATAACATGTGTCATTGATTTCATTTGCTATGTTCTTAAAACATGCCAGTTTTTAAAATAAAATGAAAACACTGTAGGAAATATACCTGCAAAAAGGAGTGAAAGTTAATCTCATCTTCTTTTCATTATGTTTAATACAATGGTTCAAAACATTAACACTATCTCCTGCAATGTGTGATTAGGGAAGGTGTGAGATCCGAATTATAAAGGAGGAGAGCAATTTTTCAGGAATGGTTGACTTTCTTTCTTGCTTTCAGGCAGACCAAATAAGATTTCAGTCACTCTTAGATTTTTGATTCTTTGATTCTTAAGTCTTTTCTAATATGCTCTAACAATTTACTAGATTGTTTACATTGTTACATCTTAGCCATTTTGCATTTTGCAAGAAAAGGAATTTTTTTAAAAATCATCGAATAGTTGTTTCATAATATGCTTTGAGCTCCACATAAGGATGATAATGTGAATCTTCATTCTCTTTTCTATTATAGGTACTAGATTTCCACTAATCCATAGGCAAACTTTAACGCAGTTCTTCTGCATTATATATGTGACAAACGATTGTACACAGTTAAGGCATCGGGGCTCTGAGCACAACAATAGCTAACTGGCCTACAAAACCCATCTTCCTGACCTCATTAACACTACACTCAAACTTCATAATACGCTCATCTGTGACTTCCAGAACTTATGGTGCACTAAGGAGATTTGTGTGAATTAGATCATTCCCAGATGACCAGAGAGAGCAGGAAGGCTCAAAATTACTTTTACTCCAAACAAATAATTCTTTACACTAATCACGCACCTAGACAACTACAAGTCACATGGCAGCATAGGTGGGAGTGTCATTTAGATGATGAGCCACTACAGTTGTTAATAGTTTAGACTGTTCAGAAGAAACATTAGACAAACATCAGCACAATCCTGCATACATTGTCAAATTGCATCTCAAGCTCTTTTCAGATGTGTTTTCAAAACCAAACGATATTTCCAAAAATTGGCTATAGAGGAGATGCTGGAAAATTAGTGATCCTTTTAAAAAATAGAAATTTATCATTACTATCTAATGCTTTTACAATAATACTTGCCTAAAACACTTGACACATTTACAATGCTTTTATTCACTGTCTCAGTGCTCCTATATGATCAATAAACAGTATGATTGTATCTCCCTCATGCAGAAAGTAATGTAAAGTCATGAAGCAAGCAAAGAGACTAGAACCACTCAAATTTTCCAATTATTTCAAATCAAATGATAATCATTCTTATTTAGTGATTCTCAAATGATTTCATAGCATAGTTTACATGATGTAAATCAGCTTCTGCACGATGTACACAGGCACATTTACCCACAAAAACAATGACAAAGGAAAGCAAAAAGTTATAATTCTGGAAGATCTCTTTCACACACACACACACACGCACACACACACGCATGCACGCACGCATGCACGCATGCACACGTGCACCACTCCTCTCTCTCCTAAAGATTAACTGGAACTGGTAAGTGATGGGAGACCTAGTAAAGAAGTCATGAGAAAAGGAAGAGAAAACATTAAGAAGAAAAAGCTGTTGGACAATTTTAGGAAAGTACTTGGTTCCCCTAAGAATGACCATTTCCTAACTACACATAAAAGAATGCATATTTGTGACTGTGTGTGTAATTTACAAGAAAGAATACATATGTTATATATTGTTTTTAATTCAGCATACCATGATCTTTTAAAGTCAAGAAATAGTCTTCTACAACTTCATTTTTAATTGTTCATTTGCATTTTATTAGGTAGATGTGACAGAACATAATTACTTCTTTAATCCTCCATTGCTGGTTATTTCAATTTTGAAGTAGTTTAGTGATCATTTTTGCCCCTTTTTCATTTTTGGTCTTCCCATCTTAATTCCCTCTCCCTGGTAGCACCCCAGTAGTAACCCTTTACTATTATTTTAAGTATCGGGGCAGAAAAATTCTTGGAGGCTGTCTTTTATGAGGAAGCCAAAGGAAAGAAATTATCTCTCCTGATTCAACAGTTAGGTGTTGGCAGGTGACTTAAATTTGACCAGCTGGAGGCTCGCTTCTGGGACTTGGAAACCGGAGGCTTAAATTAAGTACAGGAAAATGTTAGAGGTTGATCATCCCAACAGGGTTAGTAGTGTCCACGAGAGTTGTGAGGGCGTCTGGACCAATCTGCTAACTGCAGGACAGTCTGCTTCTTTCCTCATACTTCTTAATAACTTGATCTTCATTGAATCAGCTTCCCAATCTTCTGGAGACCCCCAGGAGCCTTGTAGTAAATAAACTTCTGTGAAAGTCTGATTCTGTAGCATTAACTAAGAATTCTAATATTATAAAGGTCTTTCATAAAAACCTTGTAGATATATTTTGCACTTATCCATTATTATTTCTTTAAATCTTAGAAGTGCTAAGCCAAAGAGTATGCAAAGTATTAATTTTTAAAAAGTGTGAAACTCCTAAAATTATAGCACAGAGGTTAAGAGTGATCTCTTACTATGTTACCTTGTGCAGCTTATCTCAGAGCCTTAATTTATTCATCAGCATGAGATTAATCAGAGCACCAATTATGGCTACAAAAGAAAAAAAATGAGAGACTACATACAAAATTTAGCACATAATAAATTAATAAATGTTGGAATTTTATTGGAAAGAATGAACAAATTGTAGTCCTATAGGCAATGGTAGGTGTACTCATTCACTCCTCTGCTTTCATTTGGTTCTCACATGTTCCTCTTTATCTACTCCTATGTCTGGTCTGTGATTTAAATTCTTGGCATGGGAATTCTGCATAATTTGGGGCTTCATCTTGGCCTTTTCTTTTACACATTGATAGATTATACAAAAGGCAGATTAACTTAGAAGTCCCTCAATATAGATCATCAGATTTTTTTCCCTAAAAATTTAAGAAAGAAGTATATTTGATGTATTAAGGAAACTTCGTTACATTGCCACAGTTATTACATAACTTTTAGTTAAATTGAAAATAAAAACTTTCTCAAACTTCCTGACCATTGCTTATTGTGTACTTTAATTTCATTACATATGTGGACATGTGATATCACCATCTTTTCAGTGCTGAGGACTTCTAAAGATCTGAATCCAGCCCTCATTCTAAAAGACGGTGCAAGATAAATTTAGAAAAAGAAGGTGGAAGTCAGGCACTAAAAAATAATTTTGAATACAGCATTTTAAGGAAAATATAAAGCAGAGCCATCATTAATGATATAAGAGGAATAAGGATTTATTCACATGGTGTGGAAAAAGAAAGGAAATTTAAATGTACAAACTGAAGAAAATTTAATTAGATGTAAAATAGGGTCAATATTAGAAAAGCCTCTGGAAATCTCAACTACATTGTGTAACAGAGACATCTGCTGGTCATAATATATTTCACTGTTCAAACCCTCAAAATACATTTGTTCTCTCACTGTACATCCTGTTCCCCCAGATGGTCTCTAAAACATTGAAAATTCACAGTATGAACATGAGAGATTCATATCAAAAAGATGATAATTAAATCAATGGAGTGTATTTTTTGCTTTGAATCTGTAGAAAACTCTGTACTAGCAAGACAACTTTGCTAATGCCAATTTAATATAATTACATTAAGCCTACTTTGCAGTGTAATATGCTGCTACAAGTTAAAGTATACATCTTGCCTTTACCACAAAAAAATAACTAGTGTTTTCCTTTTTAAAGTACATAATAATAATACAGTTAATGACAAAGTAATATATACATACATATATATATATATAACAAATATATCTAAGAGTCCTGGTTAAGATTTTGTCTTAGAAAAGGAATGTAAGCCATGATTATGTAGAAATACATAAAAAAATTTATAATATTATAAATCAGTAAAAGAAACTCCTGATATATTTTCTCCCCTGATATAAAATTCTCGATATATTTTCTCCCCTGATATAAAATTCTCGACAGGTGTGTCCGTATCAATTTTAGCAGTTCTTAAAAGGCATTGAAATAAACATTAATCAGCTCGTTGTGACTGACAAATTGGGAGACTCCTATCCTTAAGAGAACTGTGATTCAGAGAGAATGTACCCCTTTCTCTTAAATAATTTAGGTTAACTAAGATACTATGAATAAATATACTTTTGACAAACAAAACATAATTCGCATTTTCTTTAACATCTTCAAACATCCTATGAAAAACATTTTTTAAATTTTTCAGAAACCAAGAATTAATATCAGAATCTAAAATTGCATGAAGCACAAATTAACTCAGTAAGTTTAGATATTGTTCATGGCTAAATTTGCAATGTGGGCAAATTATAATCAATTAGTTAATTAACATTTGTTAACTGTGTTCAATCTTACACTTAGAATTGTAAGAAATGCAGAACTGTAAGAAAACCTATTTTCAAGGATCCAGTATTCTAAGTGGACAGACCATTTTATTTCATATGAAATAATGTACAACAAAGTCAGCATTTAATATGAGCTAAATTAAATGATGATGACCCAAAGGCATGCAAAAGTTCCTGCAGGAGCTTTGGGATAGTTAGAACTGGTTAAGGAAATGTTTGTGATGAAAATGAGCATTGATTTGGCATATGAACACTGGGCTAGATATGAGTAGATTGAAGTCTTAGTGGAAACTGTTTCTGGCAAAGAGAAGAACATGACTAATTGGAAGGGAGCAAAACCTAGTAAGAATTTGTTCCTGGGCAGGGAGTAGGTCTCCCTAAAGCATAGAATGGAGTGAGGGAATAACAAGAAATATTTGGCTTGAAAGTCTGAGGCCAGTGTAAGGAGATTCTTGAAAACTGGGCAGAAAGCTTAGATTTGATACATTAGGATATAAGAAAGATGAGTTTGTATAAATTCAAAGAGAGTGACTTGATAAATTCTCTGTTATGGAAGATAAATTTGGCAGCAAACTTCACCATAAGTGGTCTAAAATAGATTGGCTCTACTTGAGTTACTTTGCTAATAATATTTGGATTCAAACTTCAGCTACAGGGAAAGCAGTTCATATATAACTTTATACATTCTATATGATGACTGGATTATTTACTTGGTGTCTATGCCAAAAATAAATGAGGAAGAAAGTTAAGTAATAAATTTGATTCATATTGATGACCAACCTAGGAAATGAGATCCCCATGCCCATCCTCTTGTACCTCCCTTACTCTACTCCCTGATGGAAGGATAACTACTGCTTAAGAGAAATGAATAATGATCATTCTCCTTTTATTACATAATTCTCTTTAGGAAAAAGTAGATTTGTTCTGAATTATACAAGACTGTAGTAAATACATAGTAATGATTATGATAGAGAATATAGACTACTATTAATAAATGTCTATGATTTGTCAAGTATTCACTTCATTCTCACAACAGCCCCAGAAATAAGGGATTGTGATCTTCATTTTTGCAGCTGGGTTGTCTGAGGCTCACAGGGTCTGGAAGAACTTCCTTCAGATTGTGTACTAGGATGTGAAGTCAGGTTTGTATTGCTCCAAAGTTTGTGCTCTCAGCATGAGTGCACTACTTGAAACATTGAAATGGTTCCTATCTCTGCCTTATGCCCCAGAGCTAAAAGTCAAAGTTAAAGGCCACTTCAAACTACATGCAAATTATAGCGTTAGAGTAGGCAGTTAGTAAGATATGAGCGGCAGAAAGGGAGAGGTGGAAGCCCATAACCTTTCTAGTTGGATTACACCTGCTCTTTGTCTAAAACGTGAAGACAGAACCGGGAAGTCCCCCAGGCTGATACCTGCAGGAAGAATGCTGAGACATATCCAAGAACAACCTTTGCCCATTCACATGATAATTAGAATTCTTTCCCCCATGGGTTTTTCTCTATGCAGCCCGAGCAGTTATATGATCTGAACCTGTTAACACACCCCTCACACTAATAGGGAAACATTTACAAGGTCGGTGATCAAGTTCGGGTGGCCCCCTCCGCTTCTCTTCTTTGACAAGGTCAGCAAAAGAAACACTCAAACACTCCCAGTTCCCCGCCCCTACGCTCCACCCCCATCCCAGCCCCGCCTTCATCCACACTCCTCCAGGCTTTTCATTCCCCCAAGCTCCTTTTTCACACTGCTTGCTGCACATGCAGAAATGTTACAGATATGGAAGTAGAAAAATATAAACTGCTCCCCTTGCCTTTGTTCAGGACTCACACCTTTGGAGATCTACTCTCCTTTGAGCCTGCCGGTGTAAAATAAACCTCAACACTCCAAGACCTCCGAGTTCCACTTGGTTCTTCCATCAGTGATCCAGTCCAGGTTTTCCAGTTTTTCCATAACATTTGGTTCCCTGACCAGGAATTCCAACTGCACTGGCCTATTGTTGTCACTGGTTTGGGGCGATGGCGGGGCAGTTACAGAACGGGCGATTGCAATGGAGAAGGAACACCTTGCCTGATCTTTCGGCAGTCTCCTGCCCAGTCGCCCCAGTCCAGCCCCGCTCCACTGTTCCCACTGGACTCAGGGAGGCTTGGTAGGTGAGGACTCAGTTCCGACGTCAAATTATGGTAAGGTCCCGTGGCCCCTGAACCAGCCAGTTTCCACCCATTGGGGTGGAAGGGGAGCCTGATCACCTCACAGAGACTTCTTAGAAGTCTCACAGGTAGGGATGCACAGGGAGGGTATGCTTAAACTCTGGTGTGTGTGTGTAAGTGTGCAGGGCGGCTGAAGCCATTCAGTCTGCACTGAATCTGTGATTCCAAGGCCTGTGCTACGGAATCTGAGTGGTCCCTTCACAGTATTTGTGGTTAGCTGCCACAACATAAGAGTGACTCAGCTTGGGCTGACCTGGCCCCAGACTTGTACGGGTGCACCTTAGTCAAGGCTGACCAAATTCTCCACAAGGAGAGTGAATGGACAGGCATCTGACTGGTCTCCTCTCTGAAGGAGGCACCCCCCTCCCTTGTTTGTTGTTGCGGCATCATTACACGGACACATCATGGAGTCAGGGCACAGCAAACTCACAGTTCTCAACACCATCAACAAAAATTTCAGGAAGGGATTTTCGGAAGACTACAGAGTAAAATTAACTTCTGGCAGATTGAAAACCTGGTGTGAATCTGAATGGCCCACCTTTAGTGTAGAGTGGCCTCCGAAAGGGACCCTAGATGTCCCAACAGTCCATCGAGTCTGGTGGATCATCACTGGATATCCAGGTCATCCTGACCAGTTCCCATATATTGACTCCTGGTTGGGAGTTGCCCAGACCCTTCCCCCTTGGGTGCGATTCAATTGCAACAGGCAGGGACAGGGTAGGGTCTTAATCGCCTCAACAAAGTAGCCCACAAAGGATCAACAGAAGCCTAAGCCTCCACAAATTCTTGCTGGTGATCCACAGGAAGAGCCAATATTGCCCCTACCTTATGTACCCCGAAGGCCATCAGCACCCAGCCCCCCAGTCCTGGACACTCCACTGCTGTCAGCCTCCCTGCCACCTCCAGAACCAGCAGACTCACTCTCCCCCAGACCAACAGCCAGACTGCACCCTCGGCCAGGAGCAGGTGCCCTTCAGATACCAGTGAGAGAGACGCAGGAGCTTGAGAGGAGGGATGAAGATGGGAGCACCAAGCCTGGCCGGTCCATGCTTTAATATCAATCCTTCTCCATGACTGACCTCCTCAATTGGAAACAACACCTCGTCATACTCAGAGAAGCCAAAAGCCTTGGTTGATCTCATGGAATCCCTCTTCCAAACTCATCAGCCAATCTGGGAAGACTGCAACAGCTTCTCTGAACCCTGTTCAACACGGAGGAGAGGAAGTGGGTTATAGAAGGGGCCCACCAATACCTGGAAGAACACACACCAAGCCAGGGTCCTTGATTGTGGTGCGTGGGCTGAAATCACTGTCCCCATGGAGCACCCCAAGTGGGACTTCACCAACCCTGAGGGTCAGCACCAGATCCGCTGATATCAGGATGCCTTTCTCCATGGGATCAAAGCCAGGTCCAAAAAATCTTGAACCTGGCTCTGATCTATGAACATGACCAAAGTATCTTCAGTCACTCAACAACCAGGAGAGTCTCCTGGGGACTACTATGAAAGGTTGTGTGAAGCTTATTGCATCTACACCCCCTTCAATCCTGAATCACCAGAGAGCCAACAAATGGTCAACACCTCATTCATAGCTCAAGCCACCCCAGATGTCAAGCAAAAGCTCCAAAAACATGAAGGCTTCGCTGGGATGAAAACCACTCAGCTGATTGAAATTGCCAACAAAGTATATCTATACAGAGAGGTTCAGGCCAATAGAGAGGCTGAAAGAATGAAGAAAAAGGCCAGCCTCCTGGCAGCTGCCCTGAAAGAAAGAGATGACCAAAAGGCAGAGAAAAGCTGGCTGCCAAGATGGGGGAGACCTAGGACCCCCCCTGACCAGGGACCAGTGTGCTTACTGTAAAGAGAAGGGACATTGGAAAAACAAATGCCCCAACCGAGGCAAAGCTCCAAAGCCCAGTCGCTACCAGGAGGAGCCTCACGGGGAAAGGCTCACTGTCCTGGAAGGAACAGACTCAGATTGACAAGGACAGGGCTCTCTTACTCTCAGCCCCCATGAGCCCATGGTCAAAATTAAGGTGGGGGGACAAAACATGACTTATGGTTGACACAGGGGCAGAACACTGTGGTTACCCTCCCTGTATCCCACTTCAGTGAAAAGACTGCAACTACTCTCAGAGCCACTGGGAAATAAGCGGGCCAGCAACACTTTTGCCAAGCAGGCCAGTGTGAACTTGGAACCTCAAGGCCCAACATAAGTTTCTCTATCTGCCAGAGTGCCCCATTCCCCTCCTCAGCTGAAATATACTCTCAAATCTCAGAGCCCAAATAACTTTTGAACCAACTGTTGCACCAGCCTCAAACTAAACCCAGGCCAAGAAGAGTCAGGGTCCCTCACACTGGCAATAACCACAACTAGGGAAGAAGAGTAGAGGCTATTTTGTGCCCAGACCCTCTCAAGTAACCCACCTGAATTCAGAGCTGCCTTCCCCTCAGTATGGGCTGAAGACAACCCACCTTGACTTGCTCATAACTGAGCCCCTGTCATTGTAGAATTGACTCTGGGGGCCCAGCCACAAAAACAGTGGCAGTAACACCTCTCACAAGAGGCAAGAGCAGGCATCTAGGAACATCTGATCAGACTCAGAGAGGCATGCATTCTAACTGAGTGTCAGTTGCCCTGGAATACCCCGCTTCTACCAGTCAAAAAGCCAGGAGGATGGTACCGACCTGTTCAATATATGCAAGCCATCAACAAAGAATCCTTCCAATAAGAAAAAAAAAAAAAGAGCTTCCATAAAAAAAATTTTTTTATAGTATGCTGTATTCCTGAAAACTTGAGGAAAATCTCTAAGGGGCCAAAACACAAAAAGAAGAAAAGGTTGTTGAACCTCAAAGGGAAATATAAAAAAAAAAGAATCCTCAGAAGGCAGAGATTCTCTGAGGGCAACTGCCAAGATTATCACTCCAAATCCTGGGCCAGCAGTGAAACAGAACAAGAGATTTAGCCAGGGGCTTTGAACCAGACTAAATTGGTTCCATAATGACTGTCCTGATTGAAGGGAATCATCTTGTTTATTTTTTTCCTAATAAAGACTATTTTTTTTAGAGAAGTTTTAGGCTCACAGCAAAATTGGAGGAAGGTACAGAGATTTTCCATAAATCTCTTGCCCCCACAGATGGATAGCCTCCCCCTTCAACATTATCAACATCTCCTACTAGAGTGGTAAATTTTTTAACAATTGATGAACCTATATTAACACATAATAACCACCCAAAGTCCATAGTTTACCTTAGGGTTCATTCTTGGTGTTGTATATTCTACAGGTTTGGATAAATGTATAATGACATGTATCCATCATTATAGTATGATTATTTCCACTGCCTTAAAAATCCTCTGTTCTGCCTATTCACCACTCCACTCCATTCCAACCCCTTGCCATCACTGATTTTTTTACTATCCCCATAGTTTTGTCTCTTTCAGAATGTCAAATAGTTGAACTCATCCAGTATAGAGCCTTTCCAGATTGACTATTCTCACTTAGTAATATGCATTTAAGTTTCTTTCATGTCTTTTCATAGCTTTCTAGGTCCTTTCTTTTTGTGCTTAATAGTATTCTATTGCCTGGATGTATCACAGCTTATTTACATACCTACTGAAGGACATTGTTGTTGCTTCCAAGTTTTGTTAATTATGACTGAAGCTGCTATGAACATTTATGTGCAGGTTTCTGTGTGGACATATATTTTCAAGTCTTTTAGGTAAATATCAAGGAGTGTGATTGTTGAATTGTATGTTAAGAGTATGTTTAGTTTTGCTAGAAACCACCAAACTGTCTTTCAAAGTGACTATACCATTTTGCTTTCTCATTAAATGTCTGGCAGCATTTACCAGTGAACCCATCTGGGCCTATTGTTTTCTGCTTTGGAAGGTTATTAATTATTGATTCAATTTCCTTACTAGGTATAGGTCTAACAGATTTTCTTCTTGTGTCAGTTTGGGCAGATTTTGTCTTTCAAGAAATTGGCCCTTTCATGTAGTTTATAAGATTTGTGGGAAAAAATTGCTCATACTATTTCATTATTATTCTTTCAAAATCCATTGGGTCTATAGTGATGTCTCCTCTTTGACATTTCATATTAGTAATTTGTGTCCTCTTTTTTTCCCCTTTAATTAGCCTGTCTAGAGGATTATTGACTTTACTGATTTTCAAAGAACCAGCTTTGATTTCATTTCTTTTTAATGTTGATTTCCTGTTTTCATTTTCAGTATTTCTCCTATAATTCTTATAATTTATTTTCTTCTACATATTTTGAATTTAATTTTCTCTTCTTTTTCTAGTTTCCTATCGTGGAAACTTCAATTTTTATTTTAGATGTTTCTCCTTTTCAATGTGTGCATTCAATGCTATAAATTTACCTGAAAGTACTGGTTTCACTGCATCTTACAATTTTTGATGTGTTTTCATTTTCATTTAGATGTTGAAATTTCTTCTTTGATCTATGTTATTTTAAATATATTGCTCCACCTATTTAGATATTTTTCCAGTTATCTCTTGTTACTTGATTCTAGTTTAATTCCATCACATTCTAAGAGAAGATGTTATATGATTTAAAATTTGTTAAAATGTGTTTTATGGCCCAGAACGTGGTCTGTCTTGGTAAATATTCCATTTGTGATTAGAAAGAATGTGTACTCCGCAGTTGCTTGATGCACTATTCTATAGGTGTCAATCATATTCAGTTGATTGATGATATTGTGCTCATCTATATCATTATTGATTTTCTGCCTGCTGTATCTGTCCATTTCTGATAGAGGCAATTTTTGCCACATGCATTTTTACACTCTGTTGTTAGGCACATATACGTTGAAGATTGTTATGCCTTCCTCAAGAATTGACTCCTTTATCAATATGTAATAACTTTATTTCCATCTTTCTTTGCTTTAAAGTTTACTCTGTATGAAATTAATAAAGATTCTCTTGCTTTCTTTTGATTGCTAGCGTGGTATATTTTTTCCATCACTGTATTTTTAATCTACTTATTTCTTTTTATTTAAAGAAGATTTCTCATAGACAAATAAGGTTGGGTCTTGATATTTTTATCCACTCTGACAATCTTTGTCTTTTAATTGGTCTGTTTGGAACATTGATATTCAAAGCAATTACTGATGGAATTGTATTATTATCTGCCATATGTTACTCTTTTCTATTTGTTACCCTTTTTCCTTTTTAAATTTTTATTTTTTTCATTTCTTATGCTTTTTTGTGGTTTTAACATATTATATGATTCCATTTTCTCTCCTGCCTTTGCATATCAGTTATACTTCTTTCTTTACATTTTGTAGTGGTTACCCTAGACTTTTCAATATGCATTTACAACTAACACAAGTCCCTTGCAAATAACATCATACCACTATTTCAGGTAGTGTATCTTATAGTAACAAAATAATCTTGATTCTTCCCTCCTATCCCTTGTATTATTGTTATCATTCCACTGACACATGTGTATTTAAGCATATGCATAAACATAAGCATACACAAATACATTGTTACTATTATATTTAAGATTAACAAGTCTTATTAAAAATATGAAAAATAAATGGTCTTGATTTATACTCATTCCTTCTTGATGCTCATCCCATGCTCTTGGATAGGAAGAATTGATATTGTCAAAATGGCCATACTGCCTAAAGCAATCTACAGATTCAATGCAATCCCTATAAAAATACCAACAGCATTCTTCAACTAACTGGAACAAATAGTTCAAAAATTCATATGGAACCACCAAAGACCCCGAATAGCCAAAGCAATCCTGAGAAGGAAGAATAAAGCAGGGAGAACCTTGCTTCCCAACTTAAAACTCTACAACAAATCCACAGTAATCATTTTTGGTACTGGCACAAGAACAGACCCACAGACCAGTGGAACAGGATAGTCCAGATATTAACCCAAACATATATTGTCAATTAATATACAATAAAGGAGCCATGGACATACAATGGGGAAATGACAGCCTCTTCAACAACTGGCACTGGCAAAACTGGACAGCTACATGCAAGAGAATGAAACTGGATCACTGTCTAATCCCATACACAAAAGTAAATTTGAAATGGATCAAAGACCTGAATGTAAGTCATGAAACCATAAAACTCTTCAAAAAAAACATAGGCAAAAATCTCTTGGACATAAACATAAGTGACTTCTTAATTAACATATCTTCCCAGACAAGGGAAAAAAAAGCAA